ATGTACTTGAGAGCCAATTTCGACAGGGTTTGTGGGCCGTCTGGGGATTCTGAATCCTTCCATTTGAGAGACCCTAATGGAAGCATCGGACAGGAATTGAGTATTTTCTTTTTCCGGTCCACATGATTTGGGGGCAATGGTCCGGTTTTTTCTTCCTTGTCATCCTTTTTGAGCCGTGGTTTTTCGGGCACGGCTTTTAATCTCATCACTACCTTCCACTTCTATCTAAGTACAATCGGTAGGGTGAAGATTCGAACTCACACCATTGAATTGAAGATAGATATCTTAACTAGTCTATGTTAAAAGTTGGCACTTGTCTCCCTTGTACTTATGTTCTTCTGATGTTAATATAAAATTGTGAATTTCTAGTCACCTAAATTACTATATTTCAATGTTATAATATATGGTTTTTGTAACTTCTACTACTCACCAAAAATTGATTTGATTCGGAGGACTAATTCCATCCGAGTAAAGGAGATGACTGTAGAACGAAAACATATATAGTTGAACGTATTGTTCGGTTATATTTATTTTATGGAGTTTGTCGGGATAATTTAAAGGCACTTAAATAGTTTTTTTAAGTACACTGATCAAGTAGGGTGGGAGATTCGAATTTATGATCTCTTGATCATTGACACAAATGTCGATTATTGTTGAGTTAAATTTACGTTGATGACTTAACTAATTTTTTTAGTACTAGTATGAGAAAATTTTAATTTCAACGTTAAACTGAAAAATATTTTTCAATACACTTAAAAGGAGTGTACATCTCAATAATGCTAGAGGGAGATATTTAGGAAGATTTTGGGTTTTGTCACAGGTTTCAGTTACAAATATTCTTGAAAATGAAGATTCACAACTCTTTATATTTTAAATTGCCTAATCTCAAAATTTTTCTCCTAACGCAGAAAAGTTTATGAGATCTACTAGAATTTGTTGGAAAATTAAGGGTCTTATATAATTTTCCCTTTCACTTGGATGTCGGTAATTCACTGATACAAAACTCTCCAAAAAAATATCTCCTAGAGATCCCAATGAAAACTCACAAGAAATAAGATCTAATTACCCTGAATATGTTGATATTGATCGATCTCAATGCCTCTGCCAATGACCGAGCCTCTCCCTTAAAACTACCACGAAATCCCTGAAAAACGGCTCAAAAACGACTGGGATAAACTCTAAAACGAAAAACTGCACTTATATAAATGTCGACACAGCGCCATAGTGCTACGGACGCTAAAGCGTTTGTGCCTCCCCCATCAGGACACCGCTACGACGCTGTCCCTTAGTACCGCGACGTTGTCTTCTCGGCCCGAGTGGCCTGCAACACCCCGCTTCCCTATTTTTCATCTCTGCTTCGATCCCGACTCATTCCTAACTTGTTCCGACGTCGTTTGACTCCACCAATCCCAATAGAATTTACTCAATTGAATCATTCATGGTGGTTACTCTTTGAACTTGTAATGCAACACTAACCTTATCCATTGTAATCGTTTATTAGAGTTGGAGTTATGTAAAAGAAAAAAGTTGAAGTAGGCTACAAAAGAGTAATTAATTATTGAAGTGAACTAATTCAATAAATGTAAACTCATAAAGCCTATATATATTTATGTAGACAAGTAGGGAGTTAATATAGGGACAAGTAGGAGGTTGATTAAAACTAGTCACCCCATAATTTGATTAAAATTGGTCACCATCCGTAGCTGGTTTTTGTTATTATCTAGTTCATTACAGAGGCGGGTTTGCTTATTAAAGATCACCGACACCAGCAACATCTAACCCTTTTCAACTCTACTTCATCGTTAATAAAACAATACGACATTATAATTAGACAAAATTACATTTATATTTGGTTCAATCACATCCTTTTTTTCCCTCACAAAAATTAGGTAGCCACGACAGAGATTGGAGTCATATGATCAATACAAACTTTGTCACTCTGGTATGTAATTTTAGTTTAGACTCCATAATTAAAATTTATGATTTTTCTTCTATCAAATTTCACTTAACTCTATTTCAAAGCTTGTAAGGTTTGACCGTTTTGGTATATGTACTTTTAAATTTTGTTCATTTTAGTCTTGATGTTTTCAAAATGTTTGTTTTGATTCTTCTACTCTAAGAAATTGACGCTTTTATACCTTATTTGCAAGATTTAAAAAAAAATTATACATAATGGAAGTTAATTCTTTAATACAAATTTATGGTACATTTCAAGAAATTTAGTAAGTGAAGTGTTATGCTGCTAAAACTTTGATCCAAATAAATAAGATAAAATTGAAAAATGAAAGAACTAAAATGATAATATAGGACCAAAATAATGTTCCAAAAATATATGGATGGAAATGAACTAAAGTCGAAAATATAAAAATAAAAATAAACATTTAAAAAAGTACAAATTGGGAAGAAGAATGTTTGTCATAGAAAAATTAAAGAATATGGGGGGAGTAGTGAAAGTTTAAAAGGTGACGTGGTAATTAAATTAATTAGAGGTGCATGCATGAATTAATAGTAATACTAGATTGCGATTGATTCTGCCATATGGCAACCGGACACGAGACACGACACGACCAATTAAGTTTCACCAGGGCAATATAAAGCGACGCCGTTTGGGGCCAGGGTGGGGCCCAGCCTCCAAAATGGGGTATGTGGTTGCGTGAGCTGTTTCTGATTCCTTATGTCTTCACATTACAAAATCCAGACATTAGGGCGTGTGTCATGTTCCACATTCAACCGTGGAAAAGTTTCCCCCTCTTCTTTCTTTCTTTTTTTTTTAATTAATTTCTCCCCCCACCTTTTTCATATTCCATTCCCTAAATTTTGTTTAATGTTTTTAAATTTGAAATTTGACCAAGATTTCAAAATTACTATACAAAAGAAAAACAAAAACCATTAACCAAATAGAGGCTTTATACATTCATTGACATGAAGTGATTGGAAGGTGGTGTGGTGGATAACGAAACGGGACAAAGATTTTTATTGGAAGAATTGTAACCAGACATGTGGGGTTTGATCCACTCCATCATTATCTTTAACTTAGAATGACAATTCAAGACATATTGATGTTGTGTCAAATAATATCAGATGTGTTATGATTTTTTCACACACTTTTTTTTTAATGTATGGATTCTTTGAATTAGAGTAATGATTAGTGTGTAGTCTACAATTTTATAAATAAAAAAAAGTATAAGAATTAAAATAAGCGAAGATATTAAAAAAAAAAAGAAAAAGTGGTGGGACCTGAAGAGGAGGGAATCCTACTCCCCTATTTGAGTGGGAACAAATATAGCAAAGGAATTAATCACTCATGTTTTGGAATGAGTTGCATAAATTGGGAATCATTTCCATTTTTTTTACATTTTCATAAAGTAGGAAAACAATAGTAATACATTAGTTCACATAATGATTGAAGTTTTGAGGGATAATTCAAACAATTTTATTATAATTTTTTTTCATGAAAACCATATATATTATTGTTGAAATGTTCAATCATATCATCGACCTTTCACTCTCTAGTGAGAAGTGTGCTTTAATTTTAACATCTATAACAACTTCATAAAGTGTTGATCAATACAAATAATTTCTTAGCTTTAATATGTCACTTGGTAATAGTCTATTTATAATTTAGCAATGAAAAGCTAATCAAAATTGGGCCTATGATACAAAAGCCATTCTTATATAAAGTAAAATTTCACCCAAAAAGTTACGCACTTCTCTGTTTTAAGATGAAAAGTGTTAGTCGTGGACTCGAGTCAAAAGCTGGTCCACTTTTTACCTTTTTTTTGACAATCTAAACCATGAGAGTTGAACTAGCAATAGTGGATTTAAAAGTTAGCAATCAAACGCCCATAAATTATTCAACTTTATTTTTTTAATTGCATTTTTACTATTATATGATCCAATAATCATAGGGGAAAATCATCAAGAAACAGAAGATCAGAAGAAGGCCCATTTTTATATATATCAGGAAAAATTTCTGGAAGAAATGAATGGCACTGTTACAAGATTGAATCGAATGTGACAATCAGTTTCAACATGAGAGAGGGAAAAAAAAAACTTGAATCTTCCTCCTGGAAAAAGAAAAGAGATGAACAATGATGGGAGATCCTGAAGGCTGCAACTGAAACTACAACTCAGTGATTTGTTTTTCAGAGCAGAAACTGGAGATGAGAGAACCAGGCACATGCCAATCCAAACAAGAAGCAGCTGTTGAAAATAATCATGCTGGGGGAACCACCTGCACCATTTAGACATTTTACCTGATTGATGGAAACTAAAGAGCAGCAAAGCCACAGCAAATTGGAGGACGGGAAACAGTAGTAAGCGACCGATAACACGGACGTGTTTATTTGTCAATCAAAGTTGAAACACAGAAAGTGAAAAACAGTCCTTTAGATTCTTGGTCCATCACCTACCAAGTTGAAGATAATTGTTCTTGATGTTCCATTCAAAATCCCAGTGCTTCCTGTCATTCTTTAGAGTCCAATAGGTCCATCCAAAAGAAGCTGCATTATAAACCTCTAGCTGGGCCCTCCCAAAGTTTTGATAATCAGCCTGAGATCCATTTGACACATTCCACTCATTCACCCATTCTCCTGTTAATCACACCCATCTCTTACAGTTCAAAATTATGCAAAGCAGAAGATTCGATATTATGAAATTAAAATTAGTTACCATATCAGGGTAGAGTGAGGAAACTGAGGTCTGAGGGCTTACCAACAAAGACTAGGGGACCGTTGGCGGCATTTAAGGCCTGTAGTTGAGTTTGCCTGCTCTTGTATATGACTTCTATGTTATCCGAGGGGCTCAAGTGATCGAAAAAAGGATCAAAGAGATTGTAGTAATGCAAATCAACCACTAAATTGTGAGATCCTATGTTAGCCTGATAAAGTTCCATAGGATCTGCATTGCCAATTCTTTGGCAAATTATTACGTAAGCTGTTGAAGAGTATTTACGGACTATATCGTATCCTTGTTTGTAATATGATACCAAGGTGTCTAATGGAACTAAAGCTGCTGATGGTTCGTTTAAGAGTTCGATTCCAAGCAAGGATGGATGTTTTCCATACCTGCAAGAAAGGAAGAAAAAGATGTTTTCTTCAGCATTGGTTGAATTGCAGTAGAGCTTTGCAATAGTCTTTCTAGAGTGGGTCTCCTTCTCAAAATAGGAATACCGTGGAATTTCACGAGCAAGAACCGAAGCTATGGGTTGCTCAATGAGTTGAGAGGCCATAACAAGGTATAAAAAATTCAAAATCTGATAGAAATACCTTGAAGCCAAGAAGTCTATTACATCCAATGTTTTAGAAATGTAAGCAGGAGAATTGGCCCATCCTGTTGTACCATCATTACTCGAGCTATGTTCCATCCCATTTTGAGAGCCAGGAGCAGCATGAAGGTCAATTATGCACATTATATTATAGGCTCTGCACCACAGGTTTCAGACTTTCAGCTCAATTTACGAGACAATGTGAATGTGAAATATAAAGTCTGAAAAGAATAATTAGAAAGCAAGACCTACTGTGCCCATGAGAATGCATTGTCCAGCGCTTCCAAAGATCCACCAATAAACGGTGCAGGAGGATCGGGATCAAAAGCAATCCACCAACCAACAGGAATCCTCACTGTGTTTATTCCATGTCTGTACAAAAACTTAAAGTCGTCTATAGTGACGAAATTGTTTCTATGTCTCTGCAGTTACAATGCAATGATAAGGAAATATCATATATTGGGATCAATCTTTTGGAAAGCTAGTATGAGGAAGCTTATAACGATCACAAATAATTACCAGAAGCTTTGATTACATATGGTCAAGTACTTGTCCGTAGATATTGTTCGTGAATCTTGTCATGTCAAAATCACTAAAGATGGCTACAAGAGATAGAATTTACCTGAAGAACACGACTTGCCTCATCCTTTCCATAGCCATTTGCAAGTTGGTAATCTCCATGGAGGTTGTTTGAAAGAATCATTTCAAAAGTGGCAGCATTATCATCCCATCCTGGCTTCCCTGGATAGTCAGCTGTCAGCTGATTGGTTATCATAGCCTAAAAGTAGAGCATATGCAATCCAGTTTAACTATTAGAAAGCCAGTTTATGCTACAAGTAACCAATAAGGCAAGACGTACAGTGCTATAATATAAAGTAAAATTATTCACAAGAATTGAAGGTGCAGTAGCCATGACTCTTCATGAATTTATGAGTGTGAAAGCTAAGTGGTTAGTTATAAAATCTTGCTAGCTGGTTCACTCATTGCCACTTTTGCAATTCTTCCAAAAATTTCTGTTATTTTTTCTGATACTTTTCGGTATTTTGATTCTTATTTCTGAAAAACAGGGAAACCAAACAGGAATGTACGCAGAAGCTAAAATAAAAAAGTCCATACTTAAACCTAAAGTAAAGTAAAGAGATGAAATAAGATACCTGTAGATAGGCTCCATTCTTAAGTTTCAAATGCACTCTATTGCCTTTTCTTTCAACAAAAAATGTTTCCGAGTTCCTCGGCGATTGTACTGTTGCAGAGCATCCTTGCCCATCACATGTTAGAAACTGCCCTTGGAAGGTCCGAAATTGAAATTCTGATGCAGAAACTCTCCATAACTGCAGGAGGGGAAGGGGGGGATAAAGGTTGCTAGTTTTGAAGGTGAAGAAATCTCTTGTATTCAACAAACATAGTTCGGTTCAGGTTTCGTTGAAATGATTATATGTAGAACAATATTTAAGCATCTTAAACATAGGACTCAATAATAAACAGGTCATTGAAAAGTAAAGATTAGAAGCAACAGGCAAGTTGGTTGAATGTGCCTCCACAAATTTCTGTTCCAACTATAACAAGCTACTATAGTTCCACTTAAGGTACTCTCAACCACAGGCTCTTGGAAATAATTCATCTAATTGAATCCCGAAATTCAACAAATATCGAAGGCTCGCTTGTTCATGGAAAATCAGCCAACATTTGTCAAATAAATGTGTCACATTATCATCTAGTTGACATCATTTAACGACTGAGACTTTTTTAGAATCACAATTGAAAGTTTGAAAGACTAATATTAAAGTTCATGTTAATATATGCAGCAGAAAGAATAATTTGGTTGAGCATCTGACCCTGAAGGTTTCCCATGAAGATGCAACATCTCTACTGACTGAAACACCTGATCCTCCCCCATTATCAGCGCTAACAAACTTCTGCAATGTTACAGACCTGAATTGAACCTCAGTTCCATCCTGTATAATACAACAAATGTATCAACTGAACTATGGATCTTGAAGACTTGGATAGCATCCAACGATGAAGAAAACAGAACAAAATATGTGACCAAAATGAAACTTACTAGCATGTCTCCATTGGGAATGCCTTCAAAAAGTGAGGGCTTAATCCAACCTTCAATGACCAACCAACCTCCTAAGTTCACTCCCCTGACTTTATCATCCCCATGGATTCCCTCCACTTTCAATCAAGATAAAATGGCGAATTGAGTATGACCAAGTACTGAGCACAAACTGAAGAAATTGAAGTCATTGGGCCTACCTGAATATGCTTTGGAGGAGATGAGGCAACAGCAGAGAAGAAAGGCAGATACCCATTTGGTGACAATAAGTTCCATTAAGCAATGCCAGCCGAAACCACATCAGAAACCCAAAAATATAGTGAGCATTTTGCAGCAGATGGGTCGTAGAGTTAAAAATACGCAGCTAAGGACGAAGGGGTTGCTCCGATCCAAAGCACCATTTTAGTAGGAGAATCTCAGTAATTCCTTCCGTATCTCCCAGATAATACCAAATTCAAATTGGCGAACTAGCATAAAGATACAAGGGTTTGCCTCTTTCATTACATTAAATTAATGCTTAGACAAGATCTTGTCAATGATCGAGACAGAAGCAAACCCATTAAAATAGAGGTGGAAGAAAAGAACAATTTATTTAGACTATAAAGAAATGGGAAAAGAGTATGGGTGAAAATATGCATATGGTGATGTTGGTGATGTATAAAGCGCAAGAGGGAAGACTTTGGTCGAGGATTTGGAAGTTTTAGTTGGTGGGGTTAAGATTTCTCTTCCAATTTCTAATTCTCCTGCTAATGGGGTGAAGAAAGGCGAAACTTTTAGGAGATTTAGGATGCGAACCCCAACAATGGGATAATTTTGGGGAAAGGGGCGTGAAGATGCTGGCCCAGATTCATCATCTTATCAAATCAAAATAATTCTCACTTTACTCTATTCCTCACATCCACATGAATTCACCTTTTTTTATTTTTGCAACTTGTTCGTTTAACTGTTACCATACCACTTTACTCTTTCTTTCTTTCTTTTTCTATTTTTTCTCTCTCTCTCTCTCTTTTTTTTTTTTGGAACAAGTTACCACTTGATTGATTCCTACGAGGGGCTGAGCGCAAGCAAAAAGAGTGGGCCTGTGTGATTGCAAAAACAAAACAAAATGATGAAGTTTACAAGGTCAATGGCAAAAATGGCTCAATTTTAAAGTCTTCTTGACTTTTGACCAACCATCTTAAAGAAGGAGGAAAATGTAACTTTCTAATTCTTGATGCTACCAACGTGGAAATTACGTTTTAGCTTTCTTCAATTTTGCATATCTCTTATTTAACCACCATCTTTTTTCAAAAGAGAAATTCTTCTTCTTAAAACACTTTTGTAACATTGATGTGTTTGGTTACATTTTAATTTATTTGAATTACAATTTGTCTGGTGTAGTGATGATTTAACTAGAGTGATTTACTAGAACCATTTTTGGAGAATCAACTTTAAAATTTTTATTGAATAAAACGATTTTAAACTAATTTAATTATAATCTAGGAGATGATTTTTGTTTGTTATCAAAAACTTTATAAAAAAAAAGCTCGTTTGACCATCCAAAACCACTTACACAAAGTCATGCCAAATACACTCCAAATAACCAAGTGAAAATAAAGTGAAATGAAATTTTCAGGGAAAAAAATTAAAATTTTAAAATGAAATAAATATAAGGTGGGATGGAAAAGAAATGAATCTCGTCTTTCGAAGGCTCTTTATGGGGCATTTACTCTACCTCGAAAGGAAAGGTAGAACTACAGGAGTCAAGAGTGAACTATTGGAAGAGTGAACTATTGGAACGGCCCTCGCAACTGGCAGGATTCGCAGGCGAATCCAGAAGCTGCTGGTGAAAACTTGATTAGTTGTAAGTTTAAATCTAACCATTTTTAGTACATTAAATCTGATCCCCGTGTTCGAAGAAAAGACTCCATTGATAACATTCAAAAGACAAAGGATAATCAAAAGACCATAAGACCGTGGCTGAATTTTGGACACTAAATTTTGATAACATATGAGCAGGCTAGTTGCAAGCCCCAGGGATATGGGAGAACGAAATGGTTGGAAAAATTAAGTCCAGATTTCACACATCAAGCAGCCAAAAATTCAACTCATCTCCAAAGTTAGAAGATTTCCCTTGATAATCTGGATTGCTAGCTTTGAATCTGATTCGACCTGAAGATGGGAGCAGCGCATGGAACTTGCTAAGCGAAGGCCTTTGAGAATTGCTCTTATTTCAGCCAGCAGCGGCGGAGGAGAAAAATAGAGGAAGCTGCCAAAATGTTTCCATATAGGTCTCGCAAAGGAGGAGCCCGAAACCAAACCAAAAGAACAACGGCAGTACGCATAATAAAAAGTTGTGTATTATTTATATATATACTGTTGTACCTTTTATATTGAAATGTAAACAAAGATGTTGCAGAGAATTGAACTCCAAACTTGCAAGCACCTCACGTCTACCTGTAGTCGACTGCAGTGTACCCAAAAATTCATTTTTACTTCTATTAAAAGCTCTTGTCTTGTCTTGATTTTGAAATGTGTTTCTTCATTTTCACATCGGAAGGACCGAGCTCTGGCTTCTGAAATGCCTTGACGGCCACTGCAATTTCCTGCTACCCGAACTCAATCTTTTCATTGAAATCGCCCCCTTTTGAACACAGCGCCCAAATGAAATGGTCTTCACCAGGTTATACAAGCTCTGATTTCCAATTCCCCGCTTTGGAAATGCCACATTCCTCGAAACAGAGTTCCCACTTGAAGACCCTTCATCTCGAACTTGAATGTTGGCCGTCGCCTGATAAATCGCCAACGCTGAAACTGAATTCATAGAAACCGATCTTCTCAGGCCTTGTCCTTCGTTCTCCACAGCCTCGTGATTTTGATTCTCAGTCAAATCGCTTAATGTCCGAGACAGCCCTTTGATGGGAATCTCGGATTCTCTTCTACTATTGCTAGTCCCTTCTCCGCTAGTTTCATCTCCTCTGTTTTCTTCCTCCATTCCCGTTCGGGTGTCTTCCATCGGCGGCGGCTGGTTCGAATTCGAAATGGGTTCAATCGTAGTCAAATTAGGGGCAGCGGAATTCGAAACTACCGGAGCGCGGCAGAGGGGGCAATTCTTGTGCGATCTCAGCCACGTGTCGATGCAGGGGAGATGGAAGGCGTGGCTGCATTTGGGCAACAACCGGAGGCTCTCGTCTTCTTGAAATTCGCCGAGGCAGATGGAGCAATCTGCTCCGTCGGTTAATTTCTCCTCCTTCCTGTACTTGAACATGGTGATTGAATCGATCACCGATTGCTGGAGACCGACCGTGTGGATGTACCAGACGTGGTGGTCGAGGACTGGTCCTTCTTCTTCATCATCATCATCGGGCAGATTCTGCCGTTGAACAGCGAACAAAGCCTGCCCGTTTGGTCTCGAGCGATGATACTGCCTCAATTTCTTGACAAGAAGACAAACCATAAAGATGGCGCCGATTAGAGCTGCGGTGGCTATCAAACTGAGGAGAAGCAGAGTTCTTGAGGGATGGTGGGCAGACGTCGGAGGCAAAGGCGGGGGTGGGCGTGGAAGTGGACGTGCCGGCGCCGGTGTCCATGGCCGAGCTAAAGCTTCAAAAGTCGAATTGGGAATCCGAACACAGAGAGTGGAGCACTTATGGTAACGAAAACAAACTGTATGGCAAACATTTTTCCAACCACCGGTTCGATTGCAGCCCAAAGTGCAGGGCATGGCGTCGATTGAGCAATTGAATTAGCGAAAGAAGGCCTGTAAAAGGAGAGGAGAATTCAGAAGAATACGGAAACAGTGGAGTGGATGATTGCGAAGGTTGAGGGAAATTTCGAGGAAGAAGAGGGAATGGAAAAAAGGAGAGGGATTAAAGGCAAATTGGATGGATGGTGTCGGGTTAGGGTTAGGGTTAGGGTTCGCTTTCATTTCCATGGGAGAGCTCTGTAAGTCAATGGACTTTATTACGCCATTTCCGCGTTCACGACTTCCAGTCAATCTTCCCTCTCAAACAATCCTTTCCTTTCCTCTACAAAAAGAAAACAATAAACGGAAAATTCAAGTTGATAGAAATAGAATACTGTATACACGTAAGCTTTCATACGTGGCTCGGATTGGCACCTCCGCCATTATTACGTGACAACTAGTTATATCATTATCTCACCACGTGGCTGGACTGGAGGGTCTTTCTATCGAGAAGTAGTAATGTGAGATTCGGTAAGGTAATAATTTAAATAATTATGTATACCTTTCAAAAATTACTATTAATTTTCTTTTTTTTTTTAAGTTTCGACCATAGGAAATTAGGAAGGCAGGGATTTACTTATACTACTGATTTGATCACTGAGCCAGCTTTTCGTACTGTACTTCGATTTAATTGGCTATGTAATTCAAAATATAAAGGGCACAGTGATATTATAAATGAATAAATAATAATTCTAGGTCTAGTATTAAATTAAATCTCACATTTGATATTTATAACTAAGAGGTTGTAACTTTAAATTTAATGTCACATTTATTGAATTTTAAAAAATTAATGACACATTAATATCGAATAAAAAAATATAAGCTATAATATAATAAATTATTATACAAAAGTTTTTTCTTATTTAAGAATTAATATACAATAGTTTTGACAAACAGTTCATTTGTCATATTTTTAAGAATGTATCACATCACATTGCAAATTTAAAGTGGTAATTTAAATATGATATTTTAAAAGTTATAAAAACCTTAACCATTAAATTATATTCAGTCTAACGTCAATATTTATTAAACTTATGGACGATTACTTACTTGTACAGATAAAAAGTTTACATTACGTTTCAAATATAGTATTTACTTTAAAAGGAAAATATTTCACACTAAGGAATGACATATTTTAGAATTTCACGTCTTCAATTTCAAACAATACCAGTGCCTAAACGACTTTTTATATAAGTGCTATTTATTTTAATCACTTTTGGGAAAATGGATTCTTTCCCATGATATTTCATGTTACGTGCAGTATTTCTTACTTATGCTGCTGGTAAAGTTGATAAATTTTGACCAAATTTTGTTGTTTCAATACTCATTCTATTTATTTTCATGTATTTACTTAGTTGTTAATTTCGACCCATGATAATGTCTCAAGTAGTGAGCTTTTATTTGTTTATTTGTTTTTGGTTTTCGTGAGAGGCTCTCTGTCCCGGACAGGCCATCGGACTTCCTCAAGTTCCCCTGTGATTTCCGCCTCTCTTTCTTCCTCTCCTGCAGTTTGCTCCGTCTCTTATGGCGGCCTCGAACTTATTGGAGGAATGGAAGAACTTCAAACTCACCTCTGAGGAGGATAAGATAGCTGTGGACATCGACTCTTCTGCTTTGGAAGGTACTGGGAAATGTCTTGAACTCAGTTTGATATGCAAGCTACTCTCCAAGAGATCAATTTCTTGTACGGTGCTGAAGAATACCTTGAAAATTGCATGGAAATTGGATTGTAAGGCTTTTTCAGTGGATATTATTGGTTTTAATATTTTTCTTTTCAACTTCAATCGTTCCTCTGATCGCAACAGAATCTTAAGGATGGGTCCTTGGACTTTTGATCGTGCGCTGATCATCATCGATAATCCAGTATCCTTGACTAAACCTTTGGATATGGATTTTAGGAATGTGTCTCTTTGGGTCCACTTTTTCGACCTCTCTTTAGCCTGTATGAATAAAACAATGGCAACACGCCTCGGTAATGCTATTGGTCTCTTTGAGGATGTGGAGAGTAATGCAAACAATTTTTGTTGGGGTTCTTGTCTCCGGGTTCGTGTCAGGTTTGATGTTATGAAACCTCTACATCGTGGAATCAAGCTCAATCTTGATGGACCAATGGGCGGTTGTTGGATACCGATACAATATGAACGTCTGCCGGACTTCCGCTATCATTGTGGGCGTTTGGATCACATTCTCAAGGATTGTTCCGATTGTTGTGTAGATTCTGTTTCAAAGAATCTGCAATATGGACCGTGGCTTCGGTTTCAGGGACACAAAAATTCAAGCAACATTCTGTCATGAAAGATCAGAGTTCTCACTCGGATGCCAAGGGCAGTACCAACCATTTGAGTTCAGACTCTACTTTACCAGCTACACAGCATGTTCCCTCTGCAACCTCTCCATTGCCAGCTGTTTGCCTTCCGGCGTCTTCCCCAATGCCGATAACGCTCCAATAGAATATTTCTTTCAGCGCCACTTCAGCTGCAGTTTCAAAGGCATTTAATGCAGATTTTATTCCTTCACAAATTACCCCGTCAGTTATGGAAAGTCCTACTGGAAAAAATATTTCCATTCATAATTGGCAGACTTCAGCCTCCGATAATTACGCACCTCAAAAAGACAGGGCTTTTACTCCCCTTGCTCCTATAGCTTTTGTAGGTACTCCAACAAAAGTACACATGTGGAGAAAGAAAGCTAGGAGGGCTGTTTCGCCTCTGCTTAATAGCAAGAGGGACGAGTGCAAGTGCATACTGTCACAAGTAATAATCTGGAATATTTCTAGGTTCGTCTCCACATATTTTAAAAATATGTTCTGCGAACTGCTTGAATGAGCAATCGAGTTTGAGATAAAAATAATTGATTGGTTGAAATGCACGTTTTATAATTTAATAAAATAGAATTTTGAAACCAACCCTCATACTACTTACTAGTTTGAAGAGAAATGAATTACGCCTATCAAAATCTCACACTAAATTTACTCTCTAATTGCAAACTGGTTCAACTCCTATTCCATACCGCTTTTAGAAGATTAGGCTAGTATTTAAAACATGTCTGTAAAATACTAGAAGAATCCTAAGTAATTAAAACTCCAACTTACGTTTAATGGGTAAGAGAGCCTATGTCTAGGATCTTGTTTAAGTTCTTATGTCTAAGTAACTTCCCATTTTATCTTGATAAACTTCGTTGACTCTAACCTTTTCAAAATTAAACTCAACTATTGTGATTTAAACAAGTGGCCAACAAGTAAAATCAACTAGATTAATTRWMTCAATCAAGATAAGCAATTTGAGCGTAAACGTCGTGCTATCTGATAGATGTAATTAAAATGATGGGAACTAAGTCATTCGTAARAGGGTTGGAAAAGSAAATTAGCTACTCATAGAAACATGAAAAATAGAAATAATAAGAARKGGAGTGAAAYAAAATGTCATATTAAGTTTAAGAAGTAATTACAATAGCTAAATTAAAATCGAGAACCAAAATCTAAAGAAAATGATAACAACAAAAAGGGATTGCAATAAAAATAATTCCAGGAATGTTGAAGACAAAACAAATTATAAAAGCGTAAATTCTAGAGAGAAAACAAGCTGGAATTTAAATGTCAAATGAGCTCCCAAATTTGATGGAACTTGGTATTTATAAGCTAAACCTTGCAAGTTGGTGGAGAAAATCTTGGGTATTTGAGTGGAGGAGCTACAATGGGGCTTAACAGCATTTGGTTGCACGGATCAAGGGATGAGTTGAGATTTCTTCCAACTGCCCGGTCAACAAAAGCCCTTATTTGTAGGTGGAGAATGCGCCGAGCGCATTGCTGAAGTTTTTGGAGTGTTGGCGATGCGCCAAGATAGCCTCTGTGTCATCTGCAGCAGGTGCTGCTTTTTCCTTCCTTTTTCCCTATAAAACATATATATTTCCTCATAATTCCATCTATTTATCCAAAACCAAGTGTACAAGTCTTTCCTAAGAAATACTCCCATTTATACCGGATTCAATGCATGAAACATACGTATTTAATTTCAGAAGACACTAAACATGCACAATTTGTAAACACTTTTTCCTAAAATTCAAGACTTATCACTGGTTACATGCATGGTTGAGTCTTTCTTTCCTGTGCCCAAGAAGAGGGTATCCACTGCCCAAACGGATTATGTTCCCAAGAAGCAAAAATTATCTCACTCTCTGATTATCATGACACAGATATTCCCTCATCGACGAAGGTTGCGGAGAAACCTCGCCAGACGCCATGAAAACCATCACCTGGAATGTTCGTGGGTTGGAGGACTCACGGGCATTCTAGGTCCTTTGTGACTTTCTGCGACACGAAAACCCTCATGTTATTTTTCTTATGGAAACAAAATGTTCTGCTACCTTAACCAATAAACTGAAACTTTGTTTAAATTTTCATGGATGTTTGACTGTTGATTGTAATGGCCGTAGTGGTGGGTTGTGTCTTCTTTGGAGGGATTCCGTGGATGTTTCCATTCGCTCCTTCTCTCTCAATCATATTGATTGCTCAATTCATTGGAATAATGCTAATTGGCATTTCTCAGGTTTCTATGGACATCCCGTTACTCATAAGCGCGTCCAATTACTTGGGAGCTTCTTCGGCGTATTCATAACATGGATGATTCCCCTTGGGTAATTGGTGGTGACTTTAATGCTATCCTTTGGGATCACAAATCTATTGGACATAATCTTGCTGAGGCTTCTTTAATTTCCAACTTTCGGGATATCCTTGATCACTGCTCGCTTCATGACATGGGCTATCTTGGGTAGGATTTCACTTTGTGTAATAATATATTTGGCCATGCCCAAACCTGGAAGCGTCTGGATCAGTTTATGTGTAATAATTCTCTCTGATTTGTTTTCCAGGGCTTAGGTTAATCACCTTAACTGGTCTAAATCAGACCATAGAGCAATCGCTTTAGAGCTTCTTCCGCAGGCCGTTAGGTCGCGCAGACGTTCCTTCAGACTCTTTCGTTTTTAGGAATGTTGGACTCGGAATCCAGATTGCGGCCAAATTATCTCGGATGCTGGAAATTGGTCATCTTCGCACACAGTCCATCCTTTCTTGGATAGTCTTCGGGCTTCTTCTAATGCTTTGAGACAATGGGGTCCCTCAAATATTCGAAATCTTTTTATGCAGATCGAGGTCCAAAAAGTTGCTCTTGCAAATGCATATAATCAACTGCTTCCTCTTGACTTCTCTATTATTCATTTATTGGAAGACGATCTTGCAGGCCTTCTTGAGTTGGAGGAGATTTAATGAAAGCAAACATCTCGAGAGGAGTGGCTCAAATGGGGCGATCGTAATACCAAATTGTTCAAGAAAAAAGCCTCTCTTCAGAAGCATTATAACTCTATTGTCGGTATCCTAAATGAGAATGGTGTTTGGACTAAAGACCCTCAGGAGATCGAGCGCACCTTTGTTGGATATTTCAAGTCAATATTTTCTTCGTCCAATCCTTCTTCATAGGACATCGATGCAGTTATTCAGCATATTCCACCTCGTGTAACAACTAGTATGAATGACAATCTTTCGGCGCCTTTTGGGAGAGAGGAAGTTGAATATGCTATAAAGCAAATGTTCCTTACAAAAGCCCAAGGTCCCAATGGTTTTCCAGCTCTTTTCTACCATCAGTACTGGAACATAGTGGGACCCAAAACGGTTGAGACCTGTCTTCATATTCTGAACCAGGGTGGATCTATTGCCAATTGGAACAATACTCACATTGTCCTCATCCCAAAGGTAATGATGCCAAGGTCAGTTTCTGAGTTCCGGCCTATTAGCTTGTGCAATGTCTCGTATAAAATTATCACTAAAGTGATTGCTAATAGGCTGAAAAAGGTCATTGGTTTGGTTATTTCGGATGCACAATCTGCTTTCATTCCTGATAGAGCAATTACAAATAATATTATAATTGGACATGAATGTCTCCATTTTCTTAGGCAGTTGAGATCCAGGGATGGGGTGTAGCGGCCCTCAAGCTTGATCTGAGTAAAGCTTTTGACTGTGTTGAATGGGCCTATTTGGAGGGCCTGATGTTGAAGATTGGGTTTTCGCCGGATTTTGTTCTTTTGATTATGCATTGTCTTTCTACTGTTAGGTTTTCAGTCCTTATCAATGGAGAGCCAAAAGGCTCCTTCTCCTCTTCCAAAGGTATCCGTCAAGGGGATCCGCTTTCGCCTTATTTATTTATTCTTTGCGCTGAAGGCCTATCTCAGATGATCCACCATACTACAAGTATTAATCGCCTCTCAGGTATCTCCTTCGGCCCTTACTGTCCTATCATATCTCATCTCCTATTTGCCGATGATAGTCTCATTTTCCCAAAGGCGTTTGAATCTGAAAGTTCATACCTGAAAGGCTTATTGGTTGCTTATGGGCGCGCTTCAAGCCAATGTATCAATTTTTCGAAATCAGCACTTCTCTTCTCTCCAAAATGTCCACATTGAAAGGCAAAAGTTTCTCCAGACAATTTTGGGAGTCCAATTAGTTCCCAATCTAGGAACCTATCTGACAGTCCATCTTTGTTTACCCGTCGGAAATGGGCTGATTGGTGTTTTCTCAAAGATAGGATTTGGAAGTCTGTTCAGGGCTGGAAGCAGAATTTCTTTTCTGTTGATGGAAAAGAAGTCATAATCAAAAGCATTGGTCAAGCCATTCCCTCTTATACTATGAGTGTTTTTTGGATTCCAAAAGATTTTTATAAGGAGGTGTCTCGAATGTTTGCCCGTTTTTGGTGGGGCTCATCGGATGATAATAAGAAGATTTATTGGATGAGTTGGCAAAATATGTGTTTACCCAAAGAGATTGGGGGCATAAATTTTCGCGATATTGAGGGTTTCAACCAAGCTCTTTTAGCCAAGCAGGTGTGGCGGGTTCTCAAAAATCACAATCTTCTCATTGCTAAGGTTCTAAAGGCTAGATATTTACCTACTTGTCATGTGTTGGACACCACGGGTCTTTCTTCCTCTTCCTATTTCTGGAAAAGCTTTGTTTGGGGGAAAGACCTTCTGATCCAGGGATTATGGCTTCGAGTGGAGGATGGAAACTCTATTATGGCTTTCTCTGATCCTTGGCTTCCAAGACCATCGACTTTCAGACCAATCACTCCCGTTTTCACCCCTGAACATGAATTCCAAAGTGGCGAACTTTATTTCGCCTATGAGAGAATGGGACCTTCATTGTCTCTCAGATTTTTTCTCTCAAGAGGATAGGGATTTAATTCGGTCCATTCCTCTTAGCCTTTCAAATAATTATGACACATGGATCTGACACTATGACAAAAGAGGTGTAACACAAGAGGGAGTTTTTGGAAGAATTTATGGAAGCTTAAAATGGCCACTAAAATTAAACTATTTCTTTGAAAAGCCTCTCATGAACATCTGCCAACATTGTTCAATTTACAGAAGAAGGGGGTTGTGGATTCACCTTTATGTTCTTGCTGCCCCACCTTGCCGGAGACATCAATTCACGTGCTATTCCATTGTAAATGTGCAAGGAAAATATGGAAGAGGCTGCTCCCGAAGATGCCACTCCCCTCTAGCCCTTTCCTGTCATTTCAGGATTCTTTGAGTGAAATTTCTAACAGCCTTAATCCGAATGACACAGAGTTAGCGGCTTGTACCTGTTGGGCCCTCTGGTCTGATCGGAACTCTTTGCTGCAAAACAAGCAAGCCCCTACGATTGAAGCTAAATGTGAGTGGATCTCTAGGTATGTGACTTCTTTCAGGAATGCTCAGCCTCTTCATCGCAAATTCCTCCCTTGTCACAAAGCTGGAACCCTCCGCCTCAGGAATTCATTAAGGTATCTGTGGATGCCGCATGCAATGGTCAATTTCAATCAACGGGGCTGGGTATTCTCCTTCGTGACAGTTGCAGGCGGATTATAGCAGCTTCTTCGACTTTCATTCCAATTCCCCTTTCTCTCCTTCTCGCTGAAATTAAGGCAATTTAAGAAGGCTTGCGCCTGGCTCATGCCTTGCATTTCTGTAATATTCAGGTAGAGTCTGATTGCTCAACTGCTATCAAGCTTATTCGAGGAGAGTTTTCTTCAATTGGAGATGAGCTTAACTGGATGTTGGATGTGCAAAGTCTGGGCAATCAGTTTAATCATTCTTCTTTTCATCACGTGCCGCGACACTGTAACAAGCCGACCCATTTATTGGCAAAATTCTGTTTCCCTTTTTCAGCCACTTTTTCTTGATTCTCATATTTTCCACAGTGGCTTCCAAATGCTGCTCAGGGTGATATTCCCTCAATTGTAGCCCACGAGGCTTTTGATCAATGAATTACTTTTTCTTCAAAAAAAAAAACCACAAAATTATATCAAAAAATGATATTTCTTTCAGTTCGTTGATCTAGATCAGTATAAATTGATTGGTCAATTTTGGTTCTTCTTTAATGAATTTCTGTTTGATTTTATAAAATAATGTTTTTAAAAAGTTGATGTGTGTCAAATTGATGTTAATTATAACTAATTAAAAATTGACTAAAAAACATATGTGTCCCCACATTTGAAAATTATACATGCTTTTCTATCCTAGACCCATCAATCCATATCATTCCTTGTAACAACTTGTGGCCTCTTTGGTTTAATGTACTCTATAATTTTTCTTTTTAAAATTTTGAAAATCTCTCGCCACACGAATTTAATATATGCTAAATTGTTTGTAATAGGAATTTAAGTAGTTTTTAATTCAAAACAGTTGAAAAAAAAACAGGCCGTTCAAAGTGTGAACAGTATTTTAATTGTTTATTTTTTGTATTGTAAATACACAAAACTTCACTAGAATACATGCTCATTTGAAAAGCATTTTAAACCTATGAGCCCAATAAACGGAAAAGAAAAATGAAAATAAATGAGGGTTAAAAAACTCATTTCAGTGCATTAGATAAGGTAATTATAACCCCCATGTCGTAGTAAATAATGTCTACTTCTTTTCAGTGAAATTCTAATGTTAGAGACATCTCAAATCTACTTTTATTTTTTTTCATGACAACTTTTTCTTAAATCAACAAAATGGAGGGGCAAACTTCATAAAAGTTATACCAAAAAAAAAAATTACATACAGAGGTAAAGAATTGTGCCATGCATCAACTTATTTTACTTTTATTTATTTTTAATATCAGCTCTGCTGAAATTTTAAATACATATGAAATGTGAAATCTACTACTTACTATTAACCTTAAATACATGTGACATGCTTGTTAATTATTCACCTTTTCTTTAACATTAATACTATAAATTTATTTATTTATTATTATTATTATTATTTTGGGAGTGGGACAGAGACTTGACAGAGGCTCAAAGAGTCGGGGTTGGTTATCTTATATATATAAATATAATTTTGCTTTATCCATTGAGATTGAGGTGACATCATAATCAGAGTTGATGGGCCAGAAGCCCAGAGCCTTTGGACCATATTCTGATATTTGACATTTCCATCTCGGCCCGTGGCAGATCTGTTTTGTTTTGTCCGCTAGCCTGCAGTCCTATTTCCATCCTTCTAACTTCTAACTTATTTATTTATTACCTCTGATATAATAATTATAACTTAAATTGTTCCCTTCCATGTGGAATAAAATAAAAGTGCAAAATTTGGCGATGGGCAAATTAGTCTTTCAAAATTGTTTTTCTTTTCTGAAAAAAATATGGGAAAGGACAAGACTTTTGAAGAAACCCTTGTAATGAGGCAAGGGCAATGCAACACAGATTTCATTTCAAAAGAGAGAGAAAAAGCTGACAACCAGTGAGAGTGAGTGGTCTTATAAGTTCCCACAATGTCAATTTCACCTAATTAAAATAAAAAAAATTTTCTTTTCTGTTCACTTTTCCTTTATGGGTCTTCTGTCTTTCTCTTTTATTTGCTCACACTCTTTTTTTCTTTTGTCAAAGTTCCATAAATAAACAATTGGTACATTTTGTAGTCCCACTGCCTACAACTTAGGAGCTCTCCTAATCCATAAAGCCCTTTTTCTTTTCTCTAACTCTTCAACTTAAAAAAGCAACTTATTCTATTCTTTTAATTTTCGCATGTGATTTCGACTTAAATCAAGAGACCTTGGTTTATAAGATATTCCATCTACTCCTCTCATCATCAATTAATTTTGAGATTGCTGGTCAATATTTGATGAGCCTAAAAAAATCAGATTAGTTTTACTCCTAAAAATTACATAAATTGCATAATAATAAAGATAGATAACTGAGATATGTTTATTCCACAAATTTTTACGGGAAAAAAAAATTAACTGGAGTATATTCATGTATATATCTTTATCAAAGAGAGCTTTTTGTTTTTAAAATAAAATTTATTTGTAGGACATTATATAAGTCATAAAGAATGGGCATCCATTTCTGCTCATCTCTCGCAATAAATTACTTCCGAATTTTGTGTGCTTCAAATCAGGCACTGTGTCGAATTGACAATCGTTCTGTTAATTAAATTTTATTATTATTTTTTGCAAAGGAAAAAGAAATTTTAAGATGAAATCATGAAATGCAATCAATCTTGTCGTTTTCTTCGCCTCGGGGATATGAAATTACGATTCAGTTTTGTGAAGGTTAAATAATAAGATAATTGAACCAGGATTTGAGTGGGCTAAAGAATAAAGAAAATTAGATCAATTTCATGTAAATAAGAAGTAAATTGGGCAAACATGAGTGAGATCAGAATTTTTGAAGATGAGCAAAAAGAACCTGTTAAGATCTCTTAGATTAGATATTAACTTTTTTACCGGCATCTTATTAAAAAGTAGAATCCGACCAAGATCGATGAATCATAAAAGCTATAATCTTAAAGGACATGTTAAGTATCAATTTTCAGCATAAAACGTTTCGTCTTTTACTTAAAAATCAATCTTATGTTTCTCTATAAATAGTGTTACGTGTTATACAACTCAAACTCTAATTACACAATTAATCTGACCACAGCATGTTGTCTGTTGTATTAAAAGAAAACATTAATACTATTTTTTTAACTCAAAATGCTTCCCTTAGTTTTCAAGATTTTCAATGTTCGGGTAAAGAAAACACGTATTATAAAAAATAAATTGATTTTAAGTTAATTAAGACTTTTTTGAACTTTGGCTAATCAAACAAACTAGCTAATATAGACAAATTAGGAGACAAAAGCGAAGAGAGAGAGAGAAAAAAAAAAGACTTTTGTGATTAATTAAAAGCCACTTTTATTGGTTGATATCAGAGTAGAAAATGAACCACATATTATGAGCAAGCCATGCCATGGGTTGAGATTTTAGAAGATTGAATTGAATGCACACAATTATCACTTAAAATTTAAATTAATTAAAGTTCCATCCATGCATGCATTCATCAACCACATCCAAATCACCCAAAAATTCAAGAATAATCTCAATTAATTTTCCCTCAATTTAATTTCTCCATATAGTCCCCAAAATAATGTCCTCCCGAGATATACTCACATATTGAAACATCACACCAATAACCCTACTCCTACGCTGGTGCAAAATTTTACCTTCTAACTTTATTTATATTACGTTTCAATTCTCTAAACAAGCAAAAAATAAAAATAAAAACTTTAAAATCCAAACTTTTTACCTATAACTTTTTCTTAATCTAAAGACGAATCAATACGAGGACAAGTGTTGTTGGAACCCGCCTTTATATAAAAACACATGAGATTGGAAATGTCTAAGGAGGATGGACCCCAGAAAGGAACATGGAGAAGGAAGCATATAGATATATAAATATATATGTATGTGTGTGAAGAGGTCCCTACACCCAGCTGGCTGTCCCATGAACGATGGAACCCATCTCATTTGCTTTGGTTTCATTTAAAAGGGAAGAGAAAAATTGTATTTCGATCTCTCTCGCCTTAAAATTAGATAGTGAAAAATAAGAACTTCCATCGTACTGATCCATCGTTAGATATTTGACAACAAACTAATTTCTTTTTAAAAATTAATTTTTGCATTACTCTCTTAATCGTCAAACATAATATACAGATGGGAGTGTTAGAGCAGCCCCTGCTGTACCTCGCTGTACATATTTGCTTTTGGCTTTGCCTTTTCTTTTATAAATCTGAGTTAAATCAATGTCCCCTACCCCCTCTCTCATCTTCCTTCTTTTTTTTGTTTCATTTTCATCAGCATCACATCACAATTCAAGACCCCCTTTTCTTTTCTTTTTTGTCCTCTTTCTCCCTCTCTCTCTCTTCAGATTCTTCTCCCCTCAAAACCCTAGCTACACCTACCCCATCCCCCACCTCCTCATATTCTTCACCATCCTTAAAACCCTTTAAAAAAAAGGCTTTAATTTAATATGGGTTTGTTTTTTCCACCCCTTAACTGTTTAATTCGAAACATTTTTCAAGAATTGTGATTGTATAGAGATGTATGTGTGTGGTGGTGGATGTGGATGTGGATGTTGATGGTGAGGGTGATGCTATTATACACATGCACGTTGAAATTTATATGATTCTTTGAGAGAAGAACTTTGTAATTATGGTGTATGTATTGAGCAGATAAAATTAATTGAATTTCATAATCAATAGGGTGGGCATGGAGCGCAAGGTTTGGAAACATGTTTCTGCATGGCAATGGTGGCCTGATCTTGATTTGATGACAATGTACTTTTTATGTAAAAGTATGATATTAATTTATATTATATTGGAAAAGTTATGTATAAAATTAAAGTATTGTGTTGGGAGTGTGAGTTTATGATTGCCAAAATCAATGAATGTGAAGAAAAATAAAAAAACAGAGAGGGGAATTGTGTGTCTTTTTGTGGGAGAGTCAAAGGCACCATGAATGTGTCCCTTACTAATTACAAAATTCAGCTCCTCAATGCCCACTGTTTAATTTGTCCCCCTCTTCTTCACATGTCTTTTTCCCCTTCCTTTCATTTCATTCACCAACTTGCCTCTTTTTAACATTATTAAATTTATCATTTTTCCATTATAGCTTAGCTTCTTTATTGTGATGAACAAATAATTATACAATTAACCAAAGTTCCCATATAGCATAGTCTAATGATCATGAAATGACTACTCTCTTTATTTTTTGTATATATAGGGAACCTTTTTTCTATCTCGAAAATTCACTATTAAAATGCTAAAGTCAAAACTTTACATTTTCATAATCAAAGAAGAAGGGATCCTAGGCCTTTAATTTCAAAATTATTTGAGTTGTTAAAAGTCAAGCTTATCGAGTTTACACTTACAAAATTATTGTTAATAATTAATGGACGAGGGCATTGTGCAATAATATATTGTATACAGTAGTGCACTAGTGGTTTGATTTTGCAAGCTAATTAATTTTCTTTCCATCAAATCTGTACTTGTTAATGTGTTACGTTATATCATTATCAACACATCCACACTCCAATGTCTTCATTGCTTTTGGCCTTTTGAGAGAGAGAGAGAGAGAGCAGCCAATTGGATGGATACGTGCATTTGCAACTTGCAAGATATATAGTTCAATTAAATTCTTGATTTCACCATATTATATTGTACTTTCAAGTTTTTAACCCATCTCTCTTTAAACCTATTGATGCTGGAATTTGGCTGCACATGATCCTCCCAAATTCACACCAAACCCTTTAGATATGAAAAGAGACTGCTACTACCTGTAAAATGAAACCACCCTAGGATCGATGTGGTTTTACCACACGGGGCTCCGATGCCTAAGTTAGATCTTGATTATCAAGTATAGAGTATGAGATATCTTTCACGTACTTTCTAGTATTTGGTCTCCTCCCTATTTATGGTTGCTCGACCCTAATTCCCTCAGGATTTGTCAGGAGTCGAACCTAAGATATTCAGTCCATCTGGGCTCTCGAGCCCGTATCATTCTCCCTAGCCCTAATGTCAAATCGGGATTCAAGACAAGGTGGTTTCGGGTCGGACAACCCAAAAGTCGAGAGAGGCATCGTGAGGCGTTCTCAGCCATTGGCCGAGAACACCTTGACGTCGAGCAGGCCTCGGCACGGAGGCCTGGTCGACTCAAACGGGCTGGCCCTTGTCGACCTAGGTCGGCCCAAGTCAATTACCTCTAACGTTTTACCTGGTTCGTGCCTTCCATTCGATCGTACGGTTGTGTGAACTGTTTTGTTTTCCTTTTCCCATGACAAAACCTTTTAATTTGTATTCTATAAGTGAACTCGTATTTTTAATCATATTTAAAGTCTATTAGAAACTAAAGATGTAAGATTTAAAAAAAGAAAATAAGTACACATAAAAGGAAAACAATTAACGTCTAATTTGGAAGTGGTTATTATTATCATAATTATTATTTGGGAAGGCTAAATGCTGCTATTCTGAAAGTACTATTTAACTGTAAAAAAAAAAAAAAATTACTATTTATGGCTTATCAATTTCTGTCGATTTGCTGGCGATTAATTGCACTGGTCACGGCCTAGTGGTGGCGCCCTTGTTACGCCGACTTCAAGGAAATCTTTTCCGGCTAGTACAAAGCCGAGCCSCGACGCTGAGCCACATTTCACCTATCAAATCCTTCATAAATTAAGCCAAATTTCTTTTCTTATTAAAAAAAATATATATTACACTAAATAACATAAAATAAATATGTATTTATAAAAATATATTGTTATTATTATTATTATTATTTTAAATGTTACAAAAGTGTCATTTATGTARTTTTGTAAAATTTTAAACATAATGCTATACTATATAAATATATATTCCTTCTTTGCCATTTTTATAATTCCCTTTTATAAAAAATGGAACCAAACCATATCTTTASAAAATGGTTTCGGGATACCGAATGCATTCCAAAAATGTTAGGCTGWGGTTTGGTTGGTGCTCACAGCAGAAATATGAAATCTAATGATTTAGTAAAAAAGAATATATTTTTTGGGATAGTTATTAAACAGCAGATATAGAAATTAATCTCAATTTAAAAATTTRTTCAAAGTGCATTTTAAACATGTTCAAATCACGAATGAACCMAAACGTTTAAGTCGATGATTTAGAATAAATTTAATCATTTATATATATTCTTGATATCATTTTAAACATATTAAATCATCAATAAACCCAAAAGTTTAAACTGATGGATTAGACTAAATTTAATCATTTATAGATATCTCAACCGTGTGTTTAGTAATATATTTATAAATAATAAAAATAGACTTTTAATCAATTTATGAACATATGTACTATAAATTTTGAATTATTTTTATTCTATAATATTATATAATTTATAATGTAATATGTTTTACATTTAAAAAATGTATTTATAACATAAAWATTATATATTTATTAAAAGTTTTTATTTTATCTTTTTAAATGCAATTTGCACGTTAAAGTTGCAAATTTAAAATACAAAGCTAATAAAAACATAAAAATATTCTTATTCAGATCATATAGTTCAAAAATGGTTGGAAGGGAAGTCTACTAGATAGTGATATTCCCATATGAAAACAATAATAGAGAATTTGAACGACAYAGTGAGTAATTTTTTTAAAAWTAAATTTGAGTGGAGCTTAAGTACAGGTGAAATATTGTGGTATCATTGTTGCAAAGWATCTGTATTACTTTTAATATCAAAAGTTTTGATTCCTAAGTGCATATTTGTTAAACTAAAAAGTAAACTTGAAAAAATAATTAATGTTATTACAGTCTTCAATTTTTTTTTAGGGTTGCACTGCAATACACATAAAATTATTTTTGAAGTATCCTTTAAACACAATGTAAAAATAATAATAATAAATAAATAAGTAAAAATTACTAGG